ATAAGCTTACAATATACAAATATCAGATATAAAACCTCCATAAAAATAAAAATATTTATTTATTAGCTTAATTTAAGCAAGCAGATGTGACTGCAAATGAGCCTGAGTCTCTCAGTGGTAGTAAAGTGCTGCTACCAGCAACAGCAATGTGGATAAAGGTGCATGCAGCATCATCCAGGGCTGAAATATGAAAGAAATGCAGCTTCTGTAGTGGCCACTTTAGAGATGCTCTAAAAGCAACTGAATCCTAATAGGCTCCATCTTAAAATACCCAGCTAAGCTTATTAAGAGTCATGTTTATAGCTTGGTACAAAAGGTCTCAGTCACACCAGGTTGAAAAATGTGTATTCCCTAAACAAAAAAGCTGCTTTTGAGTTCTTTGTTTGGAAGCCGATTGCTGACATCACCCATAGTTTTCATAAAAGATGCCAACTTGTCTGACAGCATTCACCATTTTACTCTCTAATGTTGGCCGATCAGAAAGTCTAGAACCTAGGAGGGAAAAAGTTAAAGATGACAGTTTCTAAATGGAGGGACAGTAACTGTGTGTCTATATGTAACTCTAAGTGTATATTTTGTCTATATCCGCCATTGTAGAAATTCATCTCATGTAAACAATAACGTGGTGCACAGGGCGACGTCAACAAGCCCCACACCTTTGGCGTTGCGTGACTAAATCTCAGTTTTCCTCATCCACATGTAAACGCAAAAACAAAGTTTTCGAAAATCTGTGGCAGGAAAATCCCAGTTTTCAGTGATCCAAAATGCCGTTTACATGTGGACGAAAGGCCCAAACGGAAAGAAAAAGCTGCGTTTTCAAAAATACCCATGTACATGTGGACGTAGCCTGTAACTGTAAAATTGTATCAACTCTTAAAAGCTAGCTAACTAAGCTAATATAAGCAGCAGCAGCAGATTGAAAGTTGTGTCTCTAAATGACCCTGATGTTTATAGTTGGTTAGCCGTTGTTTGTTTAGCAGTGTTTTGTGGCCAGGTTTGCAGATTCAGTTGCATTTTTAACATGAAGGAATGAAACAGTAAGTATGTCGAGTGTAACTGGTAATATTAGCTAGGGTTGCTGGGGCATTGAACAAGAACATTAAACTAGAATTAGGCTAATTAGCTGAAAATACTGAAGCCACCCATCAAACTCTTTTCATGTTAAGACTGTGAAATGTGAAATCCAGTGACAAGCCTGACATTTGGAGTTAGAGCTGCAAAGCAATTTTTAAATCTCCTATTTGAGAAAGAGGTTAACAGTCAATTATTATCTGTCTCTAATTTTAGCCACATGTAGCTGAGACGGTTATGTTACACTGATAACATTTGCTTGTCAAAAATGACGTTGTTCACGATGTAGCCTGAGCCTAAAAAGCTACTGTAGAGTTTGAATAATAGGATGCGTGTCCCTTCCTCTTTCTCTCTCTCGCCGTCTCTCTGAGGGTATTTTAACAAGGTGCTGACAAGAAAAATGATAATGATGTGTCTGTCATGATGCAGAGCCGGGTAAATTTGTCACAATGGCAGGTGACTGATGGTCTAGGATCATCCAACGGCCAAACCCTGAATTCTTTCCCTGAACACACACGCAGACACACACGTGTAGACACACACAAAAATCACTCAGCACGGGTAGCTACAAGCAGGTAAATCACTTTCTTCCTCAGGTTTATCCTCATTGTTCATGAACTGCCTGTCTTTTTTTTTTCAGCCTGCAAGTGACAATGTCATTACAGTAACCTTTACAAAGTGTAAACTACTGTACTGTGACTGTAACTTTATATGTATGAAACCGATGCTGTGATCATTCTTCTTCTGCATAGCAATATGTAGGCTACATCAAAGTATTCACCAAGGTCGTTACTGTTTCAATGCTACACAGATTTCTGCTTTAATGCTCGCATAGATACAATGTGATGCTGACATCTTAACATGCAAACTGCTTTTTTTAATGTATCCAATAAAATCAGCAGTTGGTGTTAATTTGTTTGATTGCCAATATTTTAGTTTCTAATCTCATGGTGAGGCATTGTCAGTGTTAAGAGACATTTTAATGGTTCTGTAAAGCATTTAGAGCAATCTCTCTTCTTTTATTCAAAACGAAGGCATAGGCTATTTTCACAGCAGTTACTCTGATATGAAAGGGTAGGTAAAACCCAACTGTTATAAGGACATTATGAAGGTTATGCGCTGCGTTTATCCGCTATTTAATGTCAAAATGGCTGCTGGGAAAAAAAAAACTTGTGTAATCTAGATAGAACGAAAAATATTTCACCACCTACTCTTACATAGTACCACTGCGATACTGTCTTTTAATACTTACAATATTAATACTTAAATAGGGTTAGGTTAAAAAATATATAACAAGGTGTAAAGAGCATTGCATAGATTTGATATATTTAAACTATGTTATGCTTGACCTATTGGCTTATTTTATAGATTAAATATAATATTGAATTAATTAATTTTTCAACAAAAAAACCCCACAACACCAAAACCATCATCTGACAAACAAACAAGAATAAAATTACCAAACCGTGTTTTACATTTTCCACAATTCAAAAGACACAACATATCTTATGGCAGATAAATTGTGATTGTCAGATGTGACACAACTTTTATGTGCCGAGAGAGAAAAGACTGAAGTCACTGTGAGTTTTGTGTTTGGTGACTGAGCAGACATGCAAAGAACATTTCCATAAATATTTAAAGAGAAAGTAGGAAAGCAAAGCTGTTTTCATACAGTGATGGAGTCATGCTTATTAAAATCTGCCTTTCAAGGTTTAGATACACTAAAGTGCAATATAACACGTAGCCAGAACCTGATTGTTGCGACAGGATTTTATTTCTATTAGTCTAAATGACACGTGTATTAAGTTTAATAATGTTAATGTCAGTAAGGTTGCAAATCTACTGGCATTTAGCGAAGTCTGGTTAAGCCAAAGTATTTTCAGTATAAGAAAAATCCTTCTCAGGAAAGAAGATTAAAAAGAAAAAACTTCAAATGATAAATTATTCAAACCCAAAAAACTGAAAACACTTGGCCTGCCAGTTATTACCTGGCAAATAAACCAAAGGTAAAAACAAAATGTTCACAAATTTTGTCCATTATTTCTGTGCTCTTCAATGTAATTACAGATCACATTTCCATGGTGAATATCAGACATACACGGCATGTAAGAAATGACATTATGATTTCATTTTAAGCCACAAAGCCTGTCTTACAGCAGAAGGGCTCTGGCACCAATTCACCTTAATGTTACTAACTACATCTGTGCCTTTTTCTGTCGTGACATGTCAAAATGACCATCATTAAAAATAGATGTTACAGGCGTATTGGTACTATTAAGTATTGTGTGTGAATATATATATATATTTTTATTTTCTTGCTGTGTATTGGAGTGTTAGGAGCACTACGCTTGCAAACACATTAGTAACTATTTTACGTGCCAGAAAAAAAAAAAATGTTTTTCTTGGTAGATTTGGTATAGCAAATAAAAATGTAGATTTATTGGTTTGATTTTAATGAAAATAAAGAAACAGCACTTTATACATGCTTTTTTTTCTCCTCTTTTACTTGCTGTGGAATACTAAAACAGCCTTGAGCTTCTCCTGTGGTCATACAACTACTGATAACATCAATGGTATCAATAGTGACATTTAAACATGAGCAAGGTCCACAGGTAAATGCCACTGGGGGTTCTTCAAGGCTTTTAATCTAACCTCCCTTAATAGTTGATGATTTGAAAGGAGGACAATGACAGATTGTGTAGGGGTTCAATCCATAAATTTCTATAATGTAAAGATATGCTTCAGTGGTGAGAACTGACCTGTGATACATTTAGAAGTTGTCTCTGAAAGGCAGATCAATATTTCTTGTGAGCTGCATGGTAAGCAAATTGAAGTACAGTACTTTAGCAACAGATAACAAATACAAAATGTCACCAGACATCAAAAACAAATCTTTTGTAGCAAAAAATAAACATCCCCTGGGTTCTGCATTTCTAATTATAATACAATGAAACACACTGGCTTTCCAAAGCAAAACCCATGTCTGCACAAAAAAAGTGATTTAGAATAAAAAAAAATACACTTTTTCTGACACCCCAAGGGTGTTTGGGTCTAACTAGATTCATCATTCTGTTGCAACAACAGCTTTTCCCATTACTGTCAAGCACATCATCCCTTTGCGACAATAGATTTTCCTCTTCACAACCAAACAAGACACTAACTTTTTAACACATGTCATAAAGCTGTGAGACATCTCATTCAGTGCATGGGGGCCCATGTTGATCTGAGACTTCAGACGTGCCATCGGAGAGAACAAACGGTTCGTCATCTCATGGTTTCTCAAATGACAGGCTTGTCACAAAACAGCGAAAAGCTTAGATGTGCAGTTCACTTGACACACAGTCTTTGGGGATGTCTCTTAAAAAATGGTGCCCCATTTAAAAAAAAAAAAATCTGTTAGTGTGGGTGGGAGGATGGGATTGGGGTACATAACAAATAAAGCACTGGCCTACAAAAGATCCAGAGGGAACACTCTATATGCCTTCTTGGTATCCATTTAACAGGAGGGCTTACAGCAGCCGGCTGCTTACAGCCAAACTGAAGTGCTATATTACTCACCATGCTCAGCTGGAAACACTATAGAAAATGTGTTTGCCTAGGATCTACTCTCCTTTATCATTCCCAAACAGCAGGGACTAGAGCTTTAAGCACTATGCCAGGGCTCCAGCAATAGCAAACAACATTTCAGACAGAAAAAGAAGAAATGGTTTCACAAATAAGATTTCAGTTTTGTCTCTTTAAAATCCTTTAAAGCTGAATCTATCACAGCGCATCCTACTGAATTCCCATCGAGACTATTCAAAGGCACTGCCTTAGAAAAGAAACATGCAGCCTTAGAAGTACAAGCTCAAGTTTGAACACATGTTGACGAACCTACAAAGAAAGAGAAAACGAAAAACAGGTGCAAGGGCACTCGATTCAGATCTTACCAATGAAGAGGTTCCATTCAGAATCTAGGTCTGCCTGGTTTGCTAGACAGCCTCTCATTACGTTGTGACAGTAGTTGGGACAGGGTTTGAGCCCAGGCATTCCACGACAGTATGGACAGTACAGCATCCTGGTCAAGGCTTTAACACATGCTGGAGCTACATTCACCTGCAAAGCAAAGAGATGCTTTTTCAGTTATGTCATGGATTGAAATGGTGATTATTTCTAATAGAAGTTGAAATGTTTGATGGTAGTCAAAATTTTCCAAGAGGTTTCTACCAGCACCAGTGCATGCCAAAGCATCAGCAGTCAAAAATGCAGTTTTATATGAAACTATAGAGGGGATGGAAGTCGGACGGACACTACACTCTATTGCATCTTCTGAAGCTTGAAATGTGGAAATCCAGCAGATGAAACTGCATGACAAGGTTTACATCTCTGTCCATCTCCATTTATTGTGAAGGCTGTGCCTTTTGTTGTTGGGCCATGTAACTGTGCTGGCTTGAGTAAAAGTGACAGGATTCTCACATCTGCTTCCCCTCAGAGGTGGGGATGCAGAACGGGGAGTACATCTGATAATTGGCCTGTCAGCCTCTGTATTCATGGTTGACTTTAGATTTTGAACAGCAGTGTGTGTGTGTGTGTGTCTGTGTGTGTGTGTGTGTGGGGGGGGGGGGGGGGGGGGGGGGGACTTTAATTTAAAGTCCACAAAATCACTGCATTTTTATTCATTTTCTTTCACTAATGTATCACTTTAGTGCTACTTAAACTTCTGTTAATTTTGGTACTGTCAGACAAATAAAGAAATAAAAAGCAAAGACAGACGGCACAAAGCCTGCGACGAAAATAAAGCACAAATAAAAGAAGAATATAAGAAGATAAAAATGAAAAGAGAAGAACGCATTAGTGCACTACTGTAGCTCCATGGCAACATCTGAGGCTTTGCCATGACACTGCATACAGCCTGCGTCTGTTTTTAACATTCCAGCTTGTCTTTGATTTCACTCATACCATGACCAGACCACCTGTGTGTGAAGCGTGAGTGTGAGAGATTGGGGGGAAAAAAAAGACAAGAGCGATGTTAGAAAAAAGGCAGAGAGAGAGAGACAGAGAAGCAGAAGGCAGAGATGAGCGCTATTAATGTATTTGCTTCCACTGCTGCTCGGCACCAAGCGACAAGGATCAAATGAACCATCTTTGACATTTGCAATCTGCCAGTGACATCACGCGATGTCTTGTAAGAAGGCCATTAAACCGGGTTGCTAGCTGTCAGTTGTAGCGCTGCGTGTCATCCGCTGGTATGTGTTCTTGTAAATTGTTTATATCTCTCTGGGAGTGTAGCGAACATATGGGAATTTTTCAGGAACAAGGTTCATTTGACAACACATTAGAAAGCTGACATGCATGGGAAACCAGAGTGTTACATTTGAAACCATTAAAAAAATAGGACATCACTGCGTTATAGACAGAATTAGGAGAATATTACTACTGGAGAGCTGGAACACACACACACACACACACATATAAATAAATCTGTGTGTGAGTGTTTTGCTATTTTCTACTCACGCACCACAGTCACACACAACACTCATGGTGCCCTGGTGAGGAGTGTAGATGTTAAAAATATATTAATAATCAGTTAGAATATGCTTACAGATACATTACTATGTCTTATAGCCCATTTAAAAATGAATAGTGGTGTAAAGTAAAATGCTGCTAATCGACATATTTATAAATAATTCATATATTTATTACGTTGTTTCTTTGTTTTTTAAAGTGACATACTGTACACCGATCAGTGTACTGTTATAGGAGCCTACTATAACGCCTTATCGAACCCTTTGCGAAGGGCAGTTTTGTAATTTAATTTCTACATTTTCTGATTCACAAACTGAGCTCGAGGAAGTTTTTTTTTTTCTAAAAGAAACATTAGAGCAGACTGAGAGTGAACAGGCTGTGGAGAAATCCTAAGATGCTGCCAAGGATGCAGAGCAACAAACACCAAGAAAACAGAGAGACAGATACAGATGAAGCAGACGGAGAGAAAACCGGACAAGACACTAGCAGACAAACAGAAGGAATAGGCAGGTGCCGTCACCACACTTGGAAACAGAAACAGGACCAACTAAATGCCAATCACAGTGTTTGGTTTGGAGAGAACATCCTGTAAAATTCCACAGACTTTCTGCTTCCAAATGTACACTTTATGATTTTCAGGATCCAATACATATCATACTATATATATGTATTTATATATATATTGCCATCTATTTACAGACCTTGAAGAGCAGTCTCCAGTGACAGTGCTCTCATCTTTAGATCTCAGCCTGTTTTCTTCCCTTGCCTTCAGTACTTGCACTTCATAAAAATCCGTATCTCACATAAATTCACAAAGTCTGACTGCTACATGCAATTCACCAATCGACTGCGACTGAGACAGGGATGAGACACTTTTCCGATCCTACTCCCCCCCACATCCCTGTGCTTCTTCAGAAATATCCCCTGCCCTCTCCCTCATCAACGACTCAAATCCCACAGATTAAATACGTTATCCTATCGAGCATTTGAATCATTTTTGTTTCACAAGCTAATTTGCATATAAATATGTTTTGCGTAGTGAGAGAGAGAGAGAGCTCGTCCCTTTTGTTTTCTCTTTTGGCTCACAGTGGCCTAGTCACTGTACCTGAGCAGCAACATGAAATCCAGTTTAAACCACAATTGTAAAACAACAACCAGTTGACAGCATGACTTTGGAGTATCTGTGCTTGATAACTTCCTTGTTTTGCTGTTGTGGTATAAATGATGGCAACATCATAGAGGAGGATAATGAAAATATAGTCCCTGCACCATCTGCAACATCAACATGCAATTTTTTTCCCAACTTGTAAAAAGGATTTCATTATTTATTCAAATATTAAATAATATATCTTTTTTTTTTTTAAATTGTCAGAATAACTTACTTCAGTCAATTCAATTACACTTGGCCCAGTTTCTCAGCATATAGAGAGAAAACACTGGGATTTTTTTTTTTAACCACAGTCCAGTTTCAACTACGTCCTTTATATTCGATGTGGCTTTTTTGTGGCAATAGAAGAAATACAGTTAATACTGCAAATGGGAAAAGTGCTTTAAGCTGCCCTAAAGCTTTGTGAGCCTTTGGAAAATTTGCATTAAAATGATGCCTCCTAACACAATTATCTTAGTGGGATTTTTTTTACATCATCGCTGTTACTGTGCCCAGCAGTCGCCGGGTGCCCTGGATGAAGGGTAATCTGATAATCTTGTTAGCACTTATTTACAGTTGAGTAGATAAAATATTTCACAGCAGGATGAGGGGAGAACTTGGAAGTGAGATGACTCAGATCCAGAGCAAGATTAAAACACTAATCTACTCATCTGATGTTTAAGTGCAACGATAACACCGCATGGAGAGCATGTGCTTGCGCGCAAGTCACTGTGTGTGTTTTGGAGTCGTGGAGGACGAATTCAGATCCTTTAAGCAGAAAAAAAAACCTTAATTAAAGTCCCAAACTGATAAATATGAGTGCCTATTATACTAAAAAATAATGTACTTTAGGCTTTAGTTATTACATTTTTTAAAGTGACTAAAGATAAAACACTGCATAGTTAATATTTTACCTTTTCATAACTTTTAAGTAGATTTTCTTGCAAACGCATACCTTTTTGTTCACATATATTGACACAAAACCTATTATAATATTTACATTATGTGATATTGACTTTGTTCTGTAAGTGCATTTACATAAGGACAGTGTGTGAGTAAATAGACTATAAGAATGGGATGAGCCACAAACAGCAGCCAACTCATTAGCCTGCTTGAAGATGTGGTCAGCTCCTGAGGTAAGCGTAAACATTACCAAGAATTTAAAGTGCAAGATTATAAATGCAATGAGCCTTATGGGCAACAGCACAGCCCCATAAGGGGCCACAGTCAGGAGACATTACACACACCTGAATTCAATCAGCAATAAGACACATCAATGATGGGTAAATCATTAGAATACGAATAAAAAGCGTTACCATTAAAATAAGGGATAACTCTGAAAGACACTCGGAAGATATCACCTTGTCTCTCCGACAAGGTGTTGCCATGCTTACACGGTGTGAGCTCCCTTTAGGGGCAACAAAGTAGGAGAAGCAAAGACGATGGAAATTGCTTTGTGCCACCAAGTAATGAAGTTGTGAGAAATGACAATGACTTTGCAAGCTACCAAGGCCAATCAAGGGGAACACTTGTGGGACGGTGAGACTGTTGCCAAAAAATTGTCTCAATAGTTCTGTCATAATTATTGTGACAGGTTGTGTTGCTTCGCACTGATTGGACATGGATGTAAGACTGCATTGCTGCCCCAGTGTCCCCACTCAATTCCACAGCCATTAGTGTCAATGGCAATATGAGTGATTTGTTACTGTGCAAATAAGACTACCATCTGCTACGAAGAGAAACATGTGCTTGGTTGCATAAATCTCCGTGTAAAACTTAACCACTTATTTCTTCCTAACCAAAGGGTAACATTAAGGGATATTGCAATAAACATCTGATATTAATTCCATAAGTCACAGGAAATGCAAATTGTAAGAAGACGATTAGCAATTTCACGCTGCAAGGAAAATCTGATCAAATTGTTTTTATGTTTGTCGAACTCATACTTTTATTTTAAACATACTGTGAGAAAAGCTACTTTAAAATAAACTAATATTTAAAAAAGTCACGCTTATGCACAAGCTACTCCTTGTAGAAACGATCCAATCTGAGAGATAACAAAAAAAAAAAAAAGGTTTTTGGGGAGCATGGGAACCATTTTGGTGATGAACAAGCTTCATTGTAATGGCTTGCCAAATTGCCCTCTCCTGAAAAGTATTGCAGTTCATTTAACCATGAAGGTGATCTGACCCCAACCAAGTAGTATTACTTCTCTAAACATAGCCACATCTTAATCACAAGGGTGTCAGAGCAGAAAATACTCATATGGGTCCTTGTGGGAGGTGCCAACAGATGTCCTGAATTGTAGGTAGACATTTTGTATGTATTTTTTATGTATATTTATTACCTGTGTCTATGTATCTTATATGTACCGTATACTCCCGTATCCAGTCAAATTATAAGACGTTGATGTAGCAGTAATGTATAACAATGTTAGAATTGT